AGATTTAATCAGAGAAAACAGGGGTCATTTCGGGGGGGGGGATTGCGGGGGATTGCGGTTCCCCCGGGTGAGGTACGGGGGCGGAGCACATGACGAAGCCCCGCCCCCTGCTTCCGTCCGCCCCGCTTCCGGCCCTCATTCAGCCAGGAGGAGGCAGGAGAAGAGGGAGGGTAAGTTGCTTCCTCCCTGCCTCTCCCCACCCCTGCCTGCCTGGGGCCAGGGAGGGCCTTCGCGGGGCTTCCTTGCACTCCCGGCGGCCTTGCAGGTCCACTGCCGGGCCCCTCATGGGGCTCGGCAGTGGAGTTGCAAGGCCGGCGGTGGCGGCTGGGACCGTTGGGGGTGGTCTGTGTGGCCTTATGACACACTTCCGGTGATGTCAGGGTGTGTGGCATATGCTAATGAGTTATGCTAATGAGTTCCCCTAGCTCTTTTTCTACAAAACGACCCCTGCAGACAAAACATTAAAAGCGTTGGTTAGGAAGGAGGGACCACATGAAACAAAAAAAGTCTTCAGCTGCTGAGAAATGCAGCAACAGAAGGGGACAGACCATCTCCCTGGGGAGAGAGTTCCAGGACTTTGGTGCCATAACCAAGAAGGCCACGTTCTGTGTTGCCAGCCGCCTAATCTCGGAAGGTGGGGGGGGGGCACCTGAAGCAGGGCCTACGAAGATGGCCTTAGCAGTCGAGCAAGTTCATAAGGGATTAGGTGGTCCTTCAAGTAAGTTGGTCCCAAACCATACAGGGCTTTGAAAGTCAAAGATACACAAGCACTGGTTGGAAAGTTTCACACTCACTCTCGAAGGTAAAGAAGTAACATATGAAAGCCTACATTAACTGAGACACAAACATTCTTCCACTTTATCACACCTGGTTCACCGTCCCATGCCACTTTAGGAGAGTCCACTGGCATTATATACATACACACTCAAAGAGGGATGGATGCTCACCATCTAGTATGGGGGTCAGAGTTTTTAAAGGCTCTCCTCACCTGTCGTGAACACTGCCTCTCTCGCATGGCTTTAAGGCTACCATTCCAGTGCAGCAGCTGGAAGACTGTCATCAATTCCTGCCAAAGGAGAGTAGTCCAGTTTTGAGTACCATTTCAACACTAATGAAAAAAAGGGAAGGAAATGCGACACACATCCACTCACAGGAGACACATGCTTTTCAGGCACTAAGACCACCAAGCCTTCTCCCATCCACAAAAAAACACCACTGTTTTGGAATGACTTACGAGTGGTGCTCTAGATATAACCTTGAGTAATCCTGGACCACCCAGTTCCAGCCTCCTCTACAGGAACTGGCTCTCATGCAACTAGAAACACAGCCCAGTGCACCAGAATAAGGTTTCCTGCCTAAGTTTCCAAAATTCTACCAGGAGATCGGATCCTTCAATCTACCTGCCTAAGTACCTTTGCCCCTTAAAATATCTTGCTGGGATTCAACACAAATCTATCACATGCTTTAATATTCTTAGGATGACTGTCTCTGTGGCAATGTGATATGGTAGAGGGATCACCGGGCCGTTGACAAAAATCCCAGCTTTTATAGAGGTCTTTGGTGCTTCTCAAGGGGCTTGTAAAGGCCTTGTGTTATTCCATATGTTTCAAATAATACAGCTCTGTTATATCAGTGGATAGGGGGGGAAACAGTGCCAAGCTGCCTCCTGGGAAATAGTATCCATCTGCGCATTTGACGACGATAGTCAGAATGTCTCGTGAGTTGTGCTATCATGCGTACATGGCTCCTCTGTGCCACTTACAAGTCAGGAGCAGTTAAGTCACGCCAAGGTAAGCAACAGCAAAACCACACTCGCTTTGTGCAGGTCACGCTGAAGCTCATGCCAGAACTATCCCGTAAACCTCACAGGCAGGTCAGGGACCCCCCCCCCCCCCCCCCAAAAGCCCTGAGCAGTCTTAATGGATGGAAGAGTTTAGAACAGGATTTGTAACCGGGCAGATACAAGATTGTCAGTTTGGTTGATGCGTAGCTGGGCTTAGATGCAGAGCTTTGTGGAACTGGGAACTTGTACATTTCCCAGCACTCTCCACTTCCTTGAAGGGTAAGACGTTTGTTGCGGTCAGGGGTCATTTCGTAGAAAAAGATGCAGGAGCTCATTAGCATAGCTCATTCGCATATGCCACACCCCCTGACCTCACCGGAAGTGTGTCAGAAGGCAACACCTACCGCTCAGGCTCCACTGAACTGTTTTGGATTGCTAGCTGTTGGGGGAGGGACGCGCAGATCTGTCCTCGCAGATGAGGGAGAGCTTGTACCTGAATAAAACTTGGTCTTAAAGGTGCCACTGAATTGTTTTGGACCAGGGGGAGCTCTGCAACTTACCTGGCTGCTTCTTGCTCTGAGGGCTGCTGGGAGCAGGGGGAGGGGCTTGTTGCATGTGCCCGCCCCCTGGGCTCTTTACTGCCGGAGCTCCGCTCCTGTGCGCTCCTGCAGGAAATGACCCCTGATAGAGGTCATTTATTATCCCTCTTTTCTCTCCCTTAAGGTATGAAAGTGACTTAAGAACACCTAATTAAAATAAATGACAGTTAAGCAAAATTGTGTGCCTAGAAGTCATGGTTGACTTCTGGAGACCCCTAGTGGGGCTTGGACGTTTCATAGAGGTGGCTTGATTAGCCTGCCTTTTGTGTCCCGGCCCCGGTATTCCTTGGAGGTCCCCCTTCCAAGTACTTGCCAGAGTCAGCCCTGATGAGCTTCCAAGATCTGAGGAGATAGGGCTTGTCCGGGCTGTCCAGGTCAGGCACCCTTTGGGCTGCTCTTGAGGCCAGTGATGCTGCTGCTGCTGCTGCTGCATTGGCTGCTCTGCAGCTTTCTAGGCTGTCTAAACTTCTGCTTGACTCCAGACTTGGCACCTTAAGGTTGCCAGTTGGGAAAAACCTGGAGATTTTGGGGGGTGGAGCCTGAGGAGGGACTTAAATGGGGCATAACACCATAGAGTCCACCTTTCCAACGCAGCCCTTTTCTCCAGGGGAACTGCTATCTTATCACCTGGAGATCAGTTGTAATAGCAGATCTCCAGCCATGACCTGGAGGTTGGCAGCCTCCGCAGCTCCTGCTAGCTGAAAGCAGCTGGAGGAAAGCATGCCTCCGTCATTAAATTCCTCTTCTGAGAATGACTGTCCTCTGACCTTCTCTGCTTAAGCTGATTGCTGGCTGCTGACAAGTTGGTCACGCAAGCTGGTCTTCGAGAGCTCGTTGAGCTGCAAGATGAGCAGCTGCCTCCTTGCACGCAGGCTGGGTATGGCTGGTGTAATAACAGAGTATCATGGAAAGAAGCAGAAACGGGGATAAGAAACAACTGCAAAACGATAGCTAAGCAATGTGAATGACTATATTAACCATAGCTCGTACCACAGAAAAATCATCCATAGGTTCAATAGAAAGACTCTTAGTACGGTGCCACACTCAAGCTCAATCGATGTGCAATGTCTGGGACGCTCCCATTCCGGCTGCTTTATCAAAGACGGAACAGAATGTCTTCCTGTGCATCCATGTCTTGCCACTTCTCACAGAATTTCATTTACAGCTGTAAATGTTACGTCTTTGATAAAGCAGTGATGGAAACGAACTCAGAGGCCGGCAGGATTCGTTAGCCGGAACGGGAGTGTCCCTGAAATCGCACATCCTCCTCCTGCATAGTCAACAGGAGCGGTGGCACAGGGGATTTATCTGGCCGGGGCCCCCCCCCCCCCCATGCAAGAAAACAGGAGCTGGAAGGAACATACTGGCAATGGAGTCACTCTGTGTAAACAGGGCTATTAATGTAAACCTTGCTCTGTCAAGCTACCAGATTGTTACTATCCCTGGGAGACAAACAAAAGGAGACATCAGCACTGGGGAAGCTGGCTCATAGCAGATCCACCAAATAAAGCGTCAACTGTAAGCGCCGAGATGCCAGGCTTTGAGGAATGATCTGGCTCTGCGCCAGGCTCTAACAATGGGGCACTTGCACTAGGTTGTGCCTTGATCAAATTCCTCTCCATTCAAAGCACTGCCAGGATTGAACAACTGCCATCCAAGACTTCCTCTGGCAACATACAGTAAGCAATGTACACGTTCCTCCTTCGTTCTACTTCGTTCCACTTTGAGGTTTAGCTACCTAAGAAGAGCCCTGCTGGATAAGACCAATGGTCCACCTAAGTCCAGTATCCTGTCTCACAGGGTGGCCAAGCAGTTCCTCTGGAGGGCCTGCAACAGGGCATACAGAATGAGGTCTTCCCCTGATGTTGCCTCCTGCCACTGAATGTGGCTCAGTGGCTCTCCAGTTCTGAAAGAAGAGGGTGACATAAATCATGGGCCAGGTTCTAGAAGCCTGCAACTCATCCAGCTCCACGGATTATAAACTAGATTGTATTTTCTGAGGGTTGTGGCTGAAGAGGACATGTGTGCCCTGCATGTGTCACGTGTGAAGAGAGCATTAAGAGACTGCTGTGGTCACCCAAGATCCTTCTTCAGCTGCTGCTGCTATTTCACAAGTTTTAATTTTCCAAGCGAATATTATAAAGGTGTTGCTCAGGTTCTTTCTTAGAAGCACACAGATAAAGGTCCAACACTCTGCTGGTTCGTAGGCTGCATTTGAAGTGAGGGCTGCATTTTTAAACAGCTTTCTTCTCCGATTGGTAATCTGTTTTAACAGGCAGTTTCTTTCATACGGCAAAACAAACTGGCCAGACTATGCGGCCCCAACTCCACTGGGGCATTTTGCCGCCACTAGCAAGTCCCACCACCACAAGGCTTCATTTGTTTTTATGTATTTATTTTATTGCTTGCTTTACTGATGTATTTTTACTCACCGGTTTTATAGTTTTAGCTGTGTGAGCCTCCTTGAGCAGGTCTGGAAAGGTGGCACACACATTTTCTGAATACACAAATGAATGTTTAATCAAATTATCAAAAGTACCTGGAATTCCAACATTGACTTCCCTTTGTTCGACTCCAACATGAAGCGGAAAGCACCAATCCCAGTGCTCGGATTATCTGCCTCTTCTCTATTACCCTGCAGGAAAGACAACATTTAAGGGATCCGATTTCTTAATTCTGTGATTCTTTTTAGTCTAAAAGGTTTTATTGTATTGTTTGTCATATGTTGTGACCTCTTGAGAATTTCTAAATGAAAAAGCAGCATACAAATATTCAAAGCACAAAAATGAAGGGCCACGGCTTGGTATGAGCATCTGCTTGGTATGTAGAAGGTCCCAGGTTTAATACTGGGCATCTCCAGTTAAAAGGATTTGGCAGTAAGTGATGTGAAAGACCTCTGCCTGAGACCCTGAAGAGCTGATGGACCAGGGGTCTGATTTAGTATAAGGCATCTTCACGTGTTGAAAGGAAACACGCGCTCTTTAGCTGTTGGGCTGTACCGGCAGAGTGACCTGTGGTTCATTCGTAACATTTCATAAGAATGTTCATAAGAAATGTTCAGAGATCTGAAAAAGTGTGAAGAGATTTTTCTAAGACTGCAGACCACAGCCCTTCCACAAAAGACAGAACAAAACTGTCAAGGGTGCATTAGTTTCTACAGTTACCATAACAACAAGTGGGCAAAGATCTGGATCTTATAGGACACTGTTAAGAGAAGAAAGCTCAGCAAACAAGGAGGAGGGTAACGATTTATTTTCATGACATTTTGAGAGTTGTTAGAAACCCTCCCATAAGGATTTCCAGATGCAAAACACATTTATTTTCCCCATGAATCCACATGATTTCTATTCTAAGACTTCTCTCCCCCCCCCCATCAATAGGGCTCTCAGAAGCACTTACGTTGAAAGATGCCAAGGCCTCCAAGACGCTTTTTTCAATAAATTCATCTGTGATTCTCCGGGATGGATGTTCGTTGAAGACAGAATTCATCAGTGCAATTTTTGCCGCACTCCTCCTTGCTTCAGCTTTGGTGGGGCAGAACTGGGGCGTGGGGAGTATAAGCATCAGAAAAGACGACAGATGGCCAAGGTCAATTAGATCACATACTCTCCAAGGTGGTACCTGCCCAAAATTATTATGCTGCAATGGGGCATTGCTGCACTGCTATTCTTTGACATCCTGAAGTCATTAGGAGTGGGTTTTAAGAAGCCAAGCCACTCCAGCCGCTAAAATGCAAATTACACAAACAGCTGAAGTCAGCAGATACATACACGGAGAGGGAAACTCCATAGTTGGGACTGCAGTCAACAGAATTAATTAGCTTAAAGTCAAGAGGTAGCCACCTTATTATTATAAACAATCCAGACAGCCTCCCAAGCAGACTGAGTGGTTCAGAAGCCAAAAGTACTTCTTTTAAATGTCTGGGCAGTTTCAGAAACCCAGACTGCTTCTTTCGGATGTCTGTTTCGAATTGCAGCTTCATTCTATTGTACAGAAATGCATCTCTACCCGTAACCAAGAACATTTATGGACATTAACATTTACTGCCAGCTATCAGTTAACTTTGTGAAAGGAATGGCAGCTGTCAAGCAAAACTTCCTGGATGGATTTTCAGTCAAGGTGAGCCCTTTATAAGACCCCACCAGGATAATAATTGGAAGTGCATCTGTCTGGCTGCCTGAACACCGGATCCTAAATTCAAGTTCAGAATTCCCCAGCACCATCACCTTTGAGCCATTGTGGAGAGGGGGAAATTTTGGAAATCTCATTTGCTATAGATATTCCCAGCTGAGCAGGTTTCCCCCGCTACTCTTATGCTTTGAGAAGTGTGAACTGAGTTTACGGTTTATATATGGTTCCTAACACCAAATGACTCCAATTTTGAAAACAAGAAGGCTTTTCTTTAAATATACCAAATCAATGTATCACCTCCATAAAACCCACATGGAATAGCAGTCACACGGGTCAGGACGGTGCAGTAGAAAAGGGTCAAAATCACTATCTCTTGCCTCTTCTGTTAGTGGCAAAAGGGAGCAATTTCCCCTCCCCACCCCACCAATGGTTACTGCAACCCCAGGAATAAAAGTTTATGTGGTTAAAACATGGCTGCCGGTAGGGGAGGGGGCAGTTCCTTGTGTGGACCTCACAAGTTCCTTGCACTGGATCCAGCCCATAGTCAGCCCTGCTGCAACAGATTGTGTGCACATTTTGATGTGCCAAGTTTGCCTACCAAATTGTACCCCTGACATGTGCAGGGGGACATACCCCTCCCTCCAACCACCTGGAGCATTTTTTGATTATTATTTTTTTTAAAAAATGGTTTTAAAAGTTATAGTACCTAAAACCAAGGATGTTCACCCACAAATTCAAACCACATTAAAAAGTGATCTATTCCACTGAGGAATGGCCTGCCTGCTAGCTCACATTGTCCCCCTGCCCTTTCCAAACCTGGAAAACAAGGATTGTTTTGTTTTGAACTCGAGTCTCCTGCCCACTAATTGGAACCAGGCTCGGACCCCAATCACATTCTGTTGAGTCCAAGCTGGTTCCAGACTGCCTATTTTTTGTGTGTTTGTGGCCTAATCTCCTGAAATATGTCACATGTTTCCTTGGTGCTCTTTCCTTGTTGATAACTGGCTGCCTGGATGTTGAGCTGGACCTCCACCAAAACCTCCATGGTTAGATGGGCAGCTACAGTGCCTCCTTTACCCTCCATCTCTCTGTCTCTCTTTCTCTACCTCTTTGGCCTCTTGCCTCCCCTTCTTGAGTGAAACATGTTGCTTAGAATGTGCATGTGTGGACATTCTAATTTAGATTAATACTACAATCTGCTTGATTTAATTTGAACACTGTTAGCTTCTCCAGTCAGATGCTTGTATTAAACTTAGTTTTCATTACATCTACACTCTCAGTATTCCTTTCAAACCTGTAGAGAAACTTTGCCACTGGGGCAGCAGATTCCTTTACAGCTGTGTGTGGGTCACTTTCTTGACTGGGAATGCTAACTGGGTGTCAAAAGTGGGAAGTGGTGGAAGGAGGCTTCCTTCACCTAAGCTGTCTTATCTATTTGCTCTAGGAGCTCAGGGCACCTTGGCGTGGATTTGGGCCAAACTGGAAAGTCAAGCCACCTTCACACTGACACATGTATAAGTGTCATGGGCATGGATGAGGATGAGCTGACAGAGCCTGCAGAAACCACAGCTGGCCCCTCTGAAGCAGCAGAGGAGGATAGCTGGCAAGTCTTCACACCTAGCCCAGATAAGAAGGAAGAACTGCAAGCTGAAAGTCCTCCTGACTCAACCCTACGTGTGACTCATTTAAGGGAGCGACTGCGACAAAACTTAGCAAGCAGGCAAAGAGAGGCCAGGCTACAGGGGAGATGCTCAGCTAGCCCAGAGTTCTAATAGGAGCCTGGCCGATTGTGCAGCTGGCGAATTGGTAGCAGCATTTAACTCCACACTTTGGGCAGTACTCTTCGTGGAAGCAACAAGTCAGCTTCGTGCTGCTTGCATCCACTTTGGCTCGGCTCTTGCACCTAGACCTTCGGAACCCCTGGCTTTGGACTTGGCTCTGTGTTTCTGGCTCCTGACCCCGGCTTGGCTTTGGACTTTGCACTGTCTTCTTGGCTCCTGACCTTGGCCTGTTCTGGACTCCCTTTGACTGGCACCCCAACCCATGACATATAAGTGTCACAGGTCAGCCAGATCTTAGTGATAAGCGAGGTCTCCTCAGGAGAAGAGGAGCCCCGCGTAGCCAGCCTTGAGTTAACAGAAGCTGACTGGCAGGAAAATGAGCTGCAGGCTTGCCAGGATTCACAGCCAACAGCTGGTGCAAAGCCACTGACACGCTCCAGCCCCAATTCAGCAGGTGAACCTCAGCTGGCTATTCCCAGCCCACCAGTATCACCTACACCCTTAGAACACTGCAGACAGAGGCTGAGAACAGAGCTACAGACAAGACAACGAAGTACATGCCTCCTGGCCCAATGCCAGCTGCTTGCTGGTAACGAAGATGAGCAGTTGCAGGATTGCTTCTGAGCAACTGGTTGCAAGCATGCCCCTCAGCTGTGGGGCTATAAAATTAGCCAAGAAAGGCTGTTAGGCATGGATGCAATGCATATGATAGATGCTAAGCCACCAACTCTGCCTTGCCTGACTTCTGGACCTCTGACCTTGGACTGAACAACTCTGCCTTACTTGTCTTCTGGCATCTGATACTCAGAGCCTGCAAGCCAGTACAATAAGTTACATGTGAATCCTGACCCCCCACACAGTAACAAAGTGATCACCATCAAAATATGGAGCAAATAAGCTAACCAGCACCACTATACAATTTCACAGCTATTATCCATGCTGTATCAGTGCATGGTAGCCTAGTGATAGGAAACAGAATTTGCTGCTGTTGCTCAACAACAACTATCAATATACAGCCGAAGCTCTTTTAATCAATCCTATCAGATAAGAGCCCTGACCTGGTCAGCCTAGGCTAGCCCCATCTCATCCAATCACAGAAGCTAAGCAGGGTCAGCCCTGCTTAGTATTTGAACAGGCCACCAAGCAATACCAGATTCACTACGTAGAGGCAAGCAGCAGCAAACCATCTCTGAACATCTCTTGCCTCAAAAACCATAGAGTCACCATCACCATAAGTTGGCTCCAAATCCCCCGAAATCAGATCATAACTCTGTACAGAGACAAAGACATACAAATAATGCAAACACCAAATGAGGAAAAGTTCTAACCTGAAAACTGCCAAAACAGCTCCCTCCAGGCAAAGTGACATAGCAAACATATGGAGGACTGTTGGATGGGACCATCTCATAAACCACCAGAGCTCCATTTTTCAGATCAGCACCACGTGATTGCTTCATCTGCCAAAACTCCTGAAGAGCTTCTACAACATTGACTGAAAACAGAGAAAAGGGGATGTATATCAGAATACTGAGAATGAGATACGTATTTTTTTCACAGCAAAAAGAATAAGAAAAATGTAATATGGACGTAGCATGTTATACTTTCACTTTCCCCCCCTAGAGGGACAAATCTACTTGCATAGTTTCACTCACTAGCACCTATCAAACAGCCAACAGACAGATCTAATGAACAGAATCTCAGAAGCTTAGTCTCTTCAGAAGACAGATCCAAAGCTAGAGGAGATAACAAAGACTGATTTAGAAAGACAGCTATTGAATATCCATCACTTCAATATGTACTTCAATGTGTACAATACTCAAATGACTAAACAGTAAGTAGAAGGCACCAAAGGGTGTGGCTTTAAGTAATTCAGAGCATGTATACAGCACACACACCCTAAAAATAGTAACCCTCTCACTATTTAAAAACAGAAAGATGTTGTCATGCCTTGTTTACCATTCTGATGTGAAGGGAAAAAATGGTTATGGGCGTTGGGGGGGGGGGTTTAAGGCCAATAATAGCTTAACTAATCTGCACTGGCACTAAAATTTCTAACAAAAGTTGCAATGTTCTTGAATGTCCTGTGCCTATATGAGATGGATACAAGAATATTTTGTGATCAAAAAGTGAGTGACATGAAGAGTAGGCCTACTCAAGGAACACTTGTGACAATTCACATTAAGCTTGATTGGGATTCTAAGCCAGAACGGTATCCCTCCTTCCCCAAATAGAATTACATTACCTCCAGTATATGAGATAACAGAACCCTGCAGCTTTGTTTCATGCTTCTAGTAACATAATGAAACTTGCCCGTTAACTTCGGCATATACGTTTTCTAATGCAGCTTAACACCATTGCCTTAATGCTTTTAGCCTTGTCTGCAAGGTGGCATCAAGGGAGACAGCAATGAATTGTACTCACTGAGAGGTTCAAGGTGAGACTTTTCCCAATTCACCATTAGGCCTAACCTGCTATATGTGGAAATGGTGCAGTGAACGTGGTTATTCAGTAGGTCATGACTGGGGCCACAATTAGACAACCATCTAGCTATAGAAATATAGAGCAACCCTGTGTGCTCAGATGTGCCACCACTACAGCTATACACTTAGTGAGTATTACTCTTGGCCAGTGTTCCCTCTAAGCTGAGTTAGTGTGAGCTAGCTCACAGTTTTTTAGCCTCCAACTCACACATTTTTGCCTTAGCTCAGGAAGGATGGCTCCAGAGCAAACTAATGTATGCAGTAGCCAAATCGCTTGCTCACAACTTTAATGCCAGTAGCTCGCAAAGGAGAATTTTTGCTCACAAGACTCCACGGCTTAGCAGGAACATAGCTCTTGGCAGCAATACCGAATGGGAGGGGCACGTACTGGAACACCTCAGAATCCTATCTAAACCATAAATACTTCCTGTGGGATTGCTGGAACGGAATATGAAAACAGGTGTCCTTTAAATCAAGGACTGCGAACCACACACCCAGGGCAAGGAACTCGATCACAGAAGAAAATGAGACCATTCTGACCTTTGAAATTCTTAAGAACTTGTTTAATTTTCTGAGATCCAATATGGGCCTGCACCCACCATCTTTTTTATCCACTAGGGGGGGGAATCTTGAGTGGAAACTCTGGGAGTGAAGCCCCCATGGGACCTGTTTCACTGTGCCTTTCCACAGAAGTTCCCCTAGCTGGACTCTGAGTTCTGGGTTGGGGTTATCCACCACAGTCGAAGTTGGGTGGCAAGGGGGTTGGGATAACAATTCTAACCTGTAAATTTCCTGAACTACAGATAAAACCCAACTATCTGAATTTATCTGGCACCAAGGCTCTGCAAGTTGTGGCAGCCTATCCTTAAAACTGGGAACATCTGCAACTACTGGGGTGGATAGTCAGAACTTTACTGGTTGTTGGCCCTGGTCCCTCTGGGGGTTCTACTGAGTAGACCTCAGCCGCAGGGTACCCTTTCTTTTTGAAAAGGGGGACGACTAGAAAGGGCACTGAGGATACACAAATGACAGCTGGTGGTGCTGTCTCTGGCCCCGGCAGAAAGGGTTAGCAAAGCTGTGTTGCCTTTGAGAGAAACGTTATCTCTGGGCTCGAACTGAGGAAAACTTGACCAAGTGATCTGGCTGTCTTGTGGAGAAGAACTCATCCGTGGACTGCGAAAAAAGAGTTGATCCCTCAAAGGGGAGATCCTCAATTTTACAGCAAGTCTCTAGAGGGAGGAGCAGTGTTGGGTAGCCATAAGTGCCTCCTGAGAACTATGGCAAAGACCACTGATCTGGCAGATACATCCGCGGCATGTCTGCCTGCGTCAATCCCCTGTTTTGAGAGTTTAATCGCCTTGGACTGGATAAATTTAGCCATTCCATCCCCTTCCCCTGAGGTACAGTCCACATTCCCTTTCCTAGAAATCTAAGTGATTCTGTTGGTGTAGTGGTTAAGTGGTGTAGTGGTTAAGAGCCAGTTTGGTGTAGTGGTTAAGTGTGCGGACTCTAATCTGGGACAACCGGGCTTGATTCCCCACTCCTCCACTTGCACCTGGCTGGATGACCTTGGGCAAGCCATAACTCTGGCACAGCTGTTCTTGGGAAAAGAGCAGTTTCTATCAAGAGTTCTCTCAGCCCCACCTACTCACGGGGTGTCTGTTGTGGGGAGGGGAAGGGAAAGGAGTATGTAAGCTGCTCTGAGACACCTTTGGGTAGTGAAGGGCAGGGTATAAATCCAATCTCTTCTTCTTCTTCTTCTTTCATATTAGCCAAATGGGCACTGGAGGTGCTTACCCTTTGTCCTTACAAAGGACTCTTAGAGCCCCTAGACTACTCTTCAGGACCCCCAGAAATCCCTGGTTGCAGTTTAACAAACACTAAGCTAGACTACGTCTCCAGAAACCACAAGATCAGCTCTTCAACAAAACAGCCAACTTGAGTTGATATTACATTGCTTGAAAACAGCCAAAAAGGTCCTCTGTAGAAACAGCTTGGGCACAAGAGTTCTGTTCTCAGCCCAGACAAGGCTCTCCTGTTACATCCACTGCCCCTTTCATACTGCAAACCACTGTTTCCAGAGAGAACTTTAGGTCAGACAGCGGATAAGTATACGAGGCAGCCGCAAGCCTGGACTGAATTTAGTACTGTATTTCCAAAACCACAGAACAGTTCTATTAAGACAAGCATTTTGTTTGCAAATTAGAGTTCACAAAAATGATTGTATTTTGGAAAAACAAAGAAGTTGGCAGGGCTGTGGGTATACTGGTCCCACCCGGCAAATATGGCCTCTGCTCTAGGGAACAGCCTTCCTGAGGGAATCAGAAAAGCTTCCACACTTCTGTCATTTTGTTGAATTTGTAAAACAGAATTGTTCATGAGAACATTTTTATCAAGGGAAGTAGAACTGTAGTAAAATTAAAATCGTTGGGGAGGATTCTTTGGGATACCGGCTGCTTATGGCACTATTTATCATATGCATTTCTTCATTTTACAGCATTGTTTTAGGATTTCTGTAATCCAGTTTTTCCCATTTCTTATGTCACATCTCGCAGTCTTCGTATTGCATTGTTTTCTAACCTTGTAATCTAATCATATTACAATGCTTATGATGTGCCATACAGTTCCTAAGGCATCTGTACATTTTGTAAGCTACCTGGAGTTTCAGTGAGAAAAATTGAGAAAGACAGTGAAAAAGCACTACAGTAATGTTTAAAAGGTAGTATTATCCCATTCCTACAATTAAAAGGGCTATAATATACAGGTCTGACAAGAGCAGCATCAATATTTAAAGTAACAGAAATGCAGCAAAAAATTATTTTTCAGGCTATCCTGAGTCCATTAATTCAAAGGAAGCTAGCATGCACCCTATGTTGGGTAAAAGTTAGTATGTTTTGGTCCTCACTGGCATGCTTTTGAAAAGCCCAAACTTTACAATGACTTGAAGGGGGAGGGGGAACCTGCCAGGCCTGCATTGCGAATATACTGGTCCCCTTTAAGACTTTCTGTCTTGTATTTTAAATAAAGGCAGACTGAGGTTCCGATCTGAAACGAAGTGAAGGAAAACAAGCATCAGCAGCCCAAGCAAAACTAAAACGATTACTTCGGCTAGGATCAATTGAGAACGCTAGAAAAGATTTCTGTGATGTCCAGGTTTCCATGAACACTTGGCTGAGTCCCACTCCAAAGTATGCAAACACTGACTACAAGATAAAAAGCTTAACAAATAACAGCTTCCCAGAGACTCCGTACTGGCCCTTAGAACACTATGGAAAAGTAATGCTGTCCAAGATACATAAGCTGAACCTGGCTGCAGCACACAATGACACACGCTTGAAGACTGTGGGTGTTTAAAGGTTAGAACAAGAAGCCACCTTCATGGGCATCACGTAGCTCTCTTTGGTCTTCTGGCTGGAGTGTTTTATCCCTTCATTTGTCTCAGCTGCCGAATGCTACAAAGCCTTGTTCGAACTAGGAATGCATGAAAAACCTTCTGGTTTTTCTTTGGTTTTTATTATGTTGCCATCATGGGCCTTATCTTTTCACTTATTTTGGTAACTGAAGTTCTCAATTTGTTTCTTATTAAACCACATATATGCAAAATAGATATATTTGACTGGAATATATTAGAACGAAAAACACAGAAAATAGTGCAGAAACAAAGGCTTGATGGAATCCATGCACACAATGAAGTGCTTTTCTAGACTGCACAGTACCAATCTGGTGGACAGCCATGCTATCAACATTGGGGGCAAATTTCTATCCCAGCTGCACTTTTTTGGGGGTAGAATGCATAGAAAAGCGGCTCTTCAACTTTGTGCTTTTAGGATATTGTCTCCTATACATCAGTATACAAGTCCCCAAATACAACTGCTTAGCACCGTTGTCTTTCTGCAAACAAAAAAGCAAAGTCAGAGATCTGCTGATTTCAACCTCCTGAGTGGTTTAACCCTAGTCCATATAAACTATTGGAATACAAAAATACCCCCCCCCCCGAAAAAAAAACCCCTGC